GACTTTACAGATGGAAATCCCTAACTTTGGCAACAGCATTTTGGAATGTTTAAACGAACAACGTCTCCAAGGTTTATATTGCGACGTGTCGGTGGTGGTGAAAGGTCACGCTTTCAAAGCTCACCGTGCTGTTTTAGCAGCCAGCAGCTCTTATTTTAGAGACCTTTTTAACAACAGTAAAAGTTCAGTGGTGGAATTACCAGCTGCTGTTCAACCTCAATCCTTTCAGCAGATCCTCAGCTTTTGTTATACGGGAAGATTGAGTATGAACGTTGGTGATCAATTTCTTTTGATGTATACAGCTGGATTTTTACAGATTCAAGAGATTATGGAGAAAGGGACTGAATTTTTTCTCAAAGTCAGCTCGCCAAGTTGTGATTCACAAGGTTTACACGTGGAGGAAACACCATCTTCTGAACCTCAAAGTCCTGTAGCTCAAACATCGAGTTGGTCATCGAGTGCTACGGCTTTACCTTTAGTATCAAGAGTGAAGACAGAACAAGGTGAACCCGATGGGGTGCAATGTACCTTCGTGGTGAAACGTTTATGGGATGGTGGGGCTAAAGATGGAGCTGCTGGTGGGAATGGAAGTCGAAAGATGGCTAAATTTTCATCATCTACTACATCAGAATCCAATCGACAACCACAAGTATCAAATCCAACGGTGACTACGGTACCGGCTCCGGTAACGACACTACCAGGTCCAAATACAACTGATCAAACCAGTCCTGGGGGTACATCCAGTGCTTACACCAGTGATAGTCCTGGTTCCTTCCATAACGAGGAGGATGAGGAGGAAGATGGGGGTGAGGAAGGTTCCGACGAGCAGTATCGGCAGATCTGTAACATGTACACCATGTACAGCATGATGAACGTGGGGCAGGCAGGTAGGCTCCGCCCACTTTTTATAGAGGGGGGGGTGTGGTTTGCAGAGGGACCACCCATTGGGTGTGGTCTAGTGAGGCTCCACCCATTGGGTGTGGTCAACTGATCCCCCCCACCCACTAGGTGTGGTCTATGGAGACTCCACCACTAGAGTGAGGTCAACTGATCCCTCCACCCATTGGGTGTGGTCTACCAAGGCT